ACAATTTAGGTACCAAAGCTTGCTGCACACAACAATCAGCTTAACCTACCTGCAACTCATATCCTACCCGAGGTCAACAGGATTACTGCAAACAAGAATATATTTTACGTCCTAATATTAACCCAAAATTAAATCAATACATTACTGCCATGGATTTTCTCTAAAGTTTGGTTTTCCTCATGTCCACAGACTGCAGCTCCTTTTTGTCCAGTAAGTCATGTGCTATTCTATGTATTTATGCTAGCCTGGGACACTGTCGAGGCTTTGCAGGATCCTGTATGTGGACCAACAGCATACCTTCAATTAAGCACGAAGTTCTACTGTGCTCAGCAGGAGTACTAAATGGAGCACAGATTGTAGAATAAAGCCTACTGCACTCATTTTACATCCAAAAGCTTTACTCCTCTCTGTCCACAGAAAGCAGTTTGTGCCTATCATTAGATGCATGTGTTGCAAGAATTGTGATTCAGCTTCACTATATAAGGATCATATTTCAACAGTTGCTTCATTTGAAATCAGACTGGCTTGGAGACAATTTTGAGGTTTTGTGTGGCAACAGCGGAAAGGAAAGATAAATATACAGGAAACACAAGAATAGGGGAATTTTTGTCACTTCGCAGAAAATGAGACTTGTTTAGTCGAGGAAACCATCTTCCAGACTGCTTTATGGAGGAAAACCGTGGTAAGTGCCACCTGCAAAGCCTCATCGCAGTAATGAGCATCTTATAAATACCGACACAGAACTTCCACTGCAGAAAATTTAAAAGAGAGGCTGTGACAAATCAAAATTTTACTCAGTATTAGGAGAAATTACAGTATGAAGACCGCACAGTCTTTGTACGGTAATGTTTTGCAACTTACATTGCCTTTATTATAAAGATTCTTTTGTTCTGCACTTCAACATCTGGTCTAATGTACTTTATTCCACTGTGCTTTTGGAAAATATGTTGTGGTCACTGACCATGTTTAACACATTGCTAAAATATGTCACATGTACAGAGTAGTACTTGCTTACAGTGCTATCCACCTAATGGCCAAATCGTTCTGCTTGGAACCTTACAGTAAGAGTAATTAATAGCATCTCTGGTGGACAGGAACCTCCTGTCGCTTTTTTTTTTTTTTAAAATACAAAATAAGCTGAATTTTTCATTCAGCTCTGATAACCATAGCTACTCTCCTTTGGGAATTGCCACAGAAGGTCAGAACAACTCCACATCCATAGGCCTGTTACGAATTAGCTCTGTGAATGGGACTTCCTGGACTTTGGTATAAAAACCGAGTTTCCCTTAGCACAGGATTGCCTGCAAAACAAAAGTTGCTAATGAATGTACTATTTTTAACCAGTGACCTTAACCACCTGGGCCACTTGCTACTGGAAAAAGGTTCTGAGGTGGCTCCCCAGAAAACACAGGGTAAAATCCTAAATTTAAGACAACCAGCCTCGGTGCCTTTATCAGAATCCTTCCAAGTAAGTTTGCTGCTGGGAAACACAAACCTGCTTATAGAAGGGACCATCGCTACACAGCTGCACTGTTGCTAAAGTACGTGCCTATCAGGCAAGCATCTGCAAGCATGAAATGTCATCTTGGAAACTGGAATCAATATTTCTGACACTGACACTGCAGCTATATTTGCAGTGATTCAATTCTTGTAGTATTGCAGAAGAAAGCCTAGGGCAACACAAGGAAGAAAGCATGGCACTCAGCTCACACAGTATGCAAAAAATGCCCAGCCTTCATTTGAATTTGATTGTTTTGTTCGGATCAGTGTTAAAACCATAGTTAAAACCTGACTACAATCTAGAAACAGTGGGAAAAGAGACAAAGGTCTAGCAACACATTCTTCCTGGAATTTCAATTACATGTAACATAAGAATCTATCTGTATTTGCCTCTGTTCTCCTTGACCAGTGAGATCTGTCAATACCTTAAAACTTGTAAATAAGTCTGCAGCTTACAAGCACAACAACAACAGCCAGTCCCTGAGAACAGGGAAAGTTTCCACTTCCTGAAGCTACTTCCAGTTAAAGTAACTTCCACATCTGTGAAAACAGGTTTGAACAATCCTAAATCATCAATCAAAAAAATATGAGTAAAAAGCACAATTTATACTGCGTGTTACAGCTATTAGACTTCAGAAGAGGCCCACATCCTCCTACGTCAATACCATATTTTTGCTGAACTTGCATAGGCTGAATCTTGGAACTTTATTTTACAAAAGAAAAGTCCAGATAAAGCACAGATAGCTGACAGGCTTATGTCAACAGGTACGGCATCTTCCTAGTGTCACAATCCTTTACGTTGCAGAAACGTCCATCTGGTTTACCCTGCTTCAGCACTGATACATGCAGAAGGGAGAAGGGGCTTTAGCTAAGACTGAAGGACCAGCATAGAAAAATTGGTGAATTTTGCTAAGTATTGATAGGCACGTCAAAATATTGATTTGCCCCCAGCTGATCATCACTCCCTGCAACTTGGGCATTACAGCACGGGTCCAGTACCCCAATGCCTGACAGTGTTCCCACAGTTAGCTGGGCCTCCGAGATAAAAGGAAAGGTTTATGGGCTTCTCGGACTGACACTCATTTTATAAATTCATTTCCCAAGGCAGCAATATTCTGTGCAGACAGGATGGGGAAATTATTCAGATGTATGTGACAAGTCTCTACATGAGGCATGTATGAACGTTTCCAGTTAACCGCTTAATGCAAACACAAGTGCATACAGACTTCCACCACAGTTTGTTAGAGCATTCAGCAATATACTCCGCTCTCCTCATCTCTCTCCCATGTAGAAACTTGACATATTTTATGCTAAAAGCTAGTTTCGAAGTGTGGATTAGGGAAAACACAGCCACTGATAGCTTTCAGGTCCAAGCCTACTACAAACCCATTCACTGTTCAACTACGTACAGAGTATGTTCTATTACTGACATTTCTACAAATCAGGATTAAAACCATTCGCTGGATTAATACAAACTGTCTCTAATCCAACTAAGCATGATGAATACTGCACCTTTCGTGAGCTTTCTCATTTTAATTCTGTTTCAGCTACAGCCTTTTTAACTGAGACATTTCCAGCTCCAGTACTTTGCCAGGAGAGGAATGACAAACTTAGGCAGCTCACTATTTCTGACCACAAGTGAGAAGAAATCCTCTCCTCTCAAGCTGTCTGAAACAAGACTCACTAGAAAATACCAACACAAGAATTACACAGCTGGTCAAGAAACCTGTCCATCCCATCCTCTCATGACCAAATTTCATGCGCTCTAGGTTAAAACATTAGCAGGTCCTGCTAAATTAAGATGTGTCTGTCTGCTATGAGAATTAGAAACCTGTAAGCGAGCAATGATGGCTCCAGGCTGGCAAATAACCTTCAGCTGTACTACAACCTCCAGAGGCAGAACTCCCTACCAGACAGATCATCATATATCAAGGAGAACTCAACACAATCTTTGCTGCTGGTGAACCAGAAAGCAGAGTATCAGTTTGCAAGAAAACTGTATTTGTTCCACAACTCCTTTACCATCTACCACTAAGGCAATCTATAAATTAAAAAGCTACATTCTCTGAAAACTAAGTACGTATTCTATAAGAGAAAAACAGATCAGAGGAAAACCTAATTAATTTTCACAGTGTACCATGACTAATCTTGGCATATATGGTACTGGAATAGCAATCACTGAGTACAAATGAAAACAGTGTTGAACCCTGTCCTATTTTTAATCAGATGAAAGCCACAAACCTAGCCATGTTTCTGCTTAGTGTTGCATTTTCTTCTACCCTGATAGCTTTTACAGCTGGAGAAATAGCTACTTACAGCACTATTCTGCTGTAAAAAATTATTGCTACTTACAGCTACTGGGATTATAGTTGAGTGTGTCACAGAAAAGGAGGTCTGGTGGAGGCAAGCTAAGAACATTTCCTTGGGACATTTAACCCTCTCCAATCTGTATCAGTTCCTCCAAGTGAAGATGTACTTTGAAATCTTTGATCACCATTTACATGGTATTAAACTATATTTGCAAGGTTATGCAGCAAGCCAGCGGCAGAGAAGGAAACAGAGCTCTGAAGACCAGCACCAAATAAAAAAAATAATTCATATATTCAACCAATACTTTTAATGACATTTGAAGGCAATATACTAGTGCTGCTAATGTGAGGGTATATTTCACCTGCATTAGTTCTGCCATACAGAGCTATTTTTATTAACACCACAAAGAGTTCACAAAAGCCGTTCTACACAAATAGCAGCTCACAGTTCAAAGACTTTCCTGACTTAACAGTGCTTTTTGTATGCATTAAACAAAAATACTGTTAGTCACATTTTAACCTAGACATTTTAATATTTGTAATTACAGCCTGGAGTGTGGAAATGGAATGCATACTTATTAACTCAAATTTGCTAAGCCCGGTTTGTAGCCAGGTCAGCATGCAATATAGCATTACAAAAATAAGACTTATTTTGTAACCACATTCAGGGCGCACACGTGTGCTGAGAAAGGTGCAAGCTCTCTCTCTTTCCTGTCTTCCACTCCTCTTCCCTCAGTTTCTCACTTACTCGTTCTTGGGAACCAAGAGAAAGGTGGAAGTGGAAGCCTAACTGCTGTTTTAAATGCCTTCTCTTCTCCCCAGTAAAGCAACACTCAACACCATATGCTTCATCCAAGAAATAACCTGCTACTATAAGGATGAGAGGTGGAGTGTCAGAGATATTCACTCTTTGAGAATGTAATATTTCATGAGAGCTAAGCTGGTATTTCAACTCATAAGGAACTTTCTTGCTTATTTCCAACAGAAGAGTAAGCGTACTTGTCTCTCGCTGACCATTTTTCACTGATACGCTTCCTACAAAACCCCTTCTATGACTTCCTTTGCTCAACCCAACCCAGAAGTCAAGACACAAAATTCCAGCCTCCGATCACAACTAAAATAACACTAATCACCATCAAGAGACACGAGTTTGTTCCCCCATTGGAAGTACGCATGCGGAAAAGGACACACCTTTGGAGTGCTTCCCCGAAGGCCTCTTGGGTAATGACTCCTCAATGGAATGTGTTGATGTATGTAGTACATTTTCCAAACTGTTACTGACACTGTTGATGGGGGTCTCGGACCTTGGAGTGACCTGGAAAGAAAAAACACAAAAACCCAGTAAAATAAACCGAGGGAATGCGCAAACATCACACCTTCCTCCGGAGCGAGCAGAACCACTTTGAAGGCAGTTCGGAAACAGTTGCTTCTTTTAAAACCATGGGGTGTTACTATTGATATTCCACAAGTAACAGCTCGGGGAAGTTGTTTTAGTCAGCAGCTATTCACAAATCTAGATTATCTTGGCTAATCTATAAAGCTACTTAAAAGTATAATTCTTTTTTAAACCATAATCACACAGCAGTCAATTGCAGAGATATTGCAAGACCCTTAACCTTTCCACACTGCAGTTCTTAACTTTTCAACAAGAAAACTAGGGGAAACGGGCTCTTGGAAAATATAATTTTTATGTCACCTGTCTACACAGATGCAGACTCAAGGCATTTCAAAGTATTTCCACACAGATTACCAGGAATGAATTCCAATTTAGCGAAAAACTGATTTTCTTGTCTTTGCCATTTAAAAGCCTGCTATCATGATCATTTTTCAATGAAGAAATGCACACTAAAAATTCCCAAGCAGAAGGCTGCATCATCAAAACAGACTTCATGGCCTAATACATAGCTTCTAAACGGCATTTAGCATAAGAAAACATATTTTCACCATTACTTAAAACTACAGAAACAAGCTTAAGTCATTAGAAAAAGCAGACTTGAGCACTGCCCACTTCAGCTGCTGTCCACAAGAGCAGACACAATTATGTAGCAACACATAAAAACATCTATTACTTGCAGTATAACATTCACTGCCCGCCTCATAAGCAAGGCAATTACTCTCTTGTTTTCTAGGTAACAGAAAAACAGAAGAAACAACTTGTTTTCTAGAAGCAGAAGTGGATGAACAGTTACATTAGCAGTACTGAACACAAGGGTTTAAGTACCTTACGGAGGAAAGTGTGCGTTAAGAGGTAGTTAATACTAACAAAAGCACTCGTACTAACTAACACATTACTTGAATTTCAATTGCCACATTTTGAATCAACGTGAAGTCCTGGTATGGAGAGTTGTAATTAGAATTTAACGTGGATTTTAGCCTTTCACATATCACGGGAGAAAATGTGCATCTCGACATAACAAAAGAAGCTATCCTTTATTCATGGTAACTAATACCAGCAACTACAGGTCCCTGTAAGAGAAAAGGCTCACTCAGATCCTGATTACTTGAGACGGTGCCATGAGTTAGGGCAATTTATGCTTAAAGCAATACTTCGCTCACCCTACCATTAGCCTTACATATTGACATCAGTTGGAACACACAATGCAAGTCAGAACCAGCACATCCCTACCTCTATACAATTACCTGTTGTAAGCTCCATTTTAAGACTGATGTTTACAGGTTTATATGCAGTTTAAGGCAGCAGCACAAGTGAAAGACTTGGTATACTTGACATCCATAGAAAAAGCTTGTATGTGCAAAGTAATCAACCCAGAAAGACAGATGGGTGTCAGAAGAAAGCAGGATTGCAAGCACCTGCTTTCCTTTTCAGCACTGTTAGTCTACTTTTTGATCAAAAATAAAGTTTACTTGTATGCTTCTTCAGCACAGCTTTCCACCAATAACAAAAACTTCCTATCAAGCTTTCACATTAGAAAGCCATTAAACTTTCAGCTTGGGGGGAGGGTGGGGAATAGTTCAAATCTCCTTGCCAAAGTCAATCTTTACCAAAGCTTATCTCACACCGTCTCTCTCCTGGAGCTCATTAAACTCTCCCTCCAGTGGATTGCTGCTGAGAAGTTCCAGCGGACTGAGCAATGACACCACCATCCTCCTGGCAATGGGAGACTCCAGAAGAGCAACCGAGTAACAGAGCAAGCTAGAAAATTAGAGTCAGGCGAGACTATGTTATCCTAAATAACCAGGTTCCAAATATTCAGAACAATCAGCAAATATAAACACTTCGAGTATCTGAAACTCTAAGAGCAGAGCCACATGGTTTCAGAAAATTTTCTAAACAAGCAGTTTGTTACAATATATTGCCTCCTATCTTGTATTCCCTTCTCTCCACTATCCTCACAAGAAGCATTGCGTGCAGTTTAAAATTTGCGTTTTGTTTATACATAACCTCCAAATCTTTCCATAAAGATTTAATTTTTATATATGTGGTAAAGATTAATTTAGCCCATATGTCTTGACTGACTGAGCTCATATACTATCTGATTCAGTCGCACATCAAAGCAAAGCAGTTTCAAATTGGCCTAGAAAAATCACAAAGCTCTGATTAGTTCCAAATGGAGCGCTTTGTTAGCGAGCTGAATGGTGTTATAACCAGTGAATCTGACTGCTTAAAGCTTTCATTCCAAATTTTAAATAATTTTTTCCACTGACTTAAACATACCAACACTGCAAAGGTTTGGATTTGTTTAGGAAAAGTAAAATAATGAAAAATGTTTTGCAAATCAAAGTTTGATTTCCAAAATAGTAACAGCCTTTTTTTTTTTTTTTTAATTTGAGGCCAAGCAAAACACAGAGGAACAATAACCCATCAGCTACGAACTGCAGAAGATACAGTCCTGGGAGAGCTGGGAGAAACACTGGCAAAAGCTTAACAGCAGATGCCCAGGAAGGACTTGTCCAAATTCAACTGGAGAAACTCAATGTCAGGTAAATTCTGGGAGGAACGTTCACCGTATCTGAACACTACTGCAATCCCTTGTTTGGGCTCAGCACACACAACGAGTAAGTAGTCACCATATTCTGCATAAAGAACACAGCCTTCCAGTGAGAGCAAGATTCTGAGAAGTGGTAAGCAAATTGCTTTGGACCTTTTAGGATCTGTAGCACCTCTAAAGAAAGCCAAGATGCCATTAAAGAATAAGCATCTGCTGTTCAAGAACTGTTGAAGGCTTGTTTTCTAAAGCAGTAATAGTCCACGGTACAGGTGGATAAGCTGGCATCGCGGAAACCAGAAAAGTTCAGGCTGTGTATCATAACAAACCACAGGACTGACATTTTATAAATGCAGAAAAAAAATCATGAATCATTCAAGGTCTCAGAGGACACAGCATCAGACATCTGAACAGAAGACTTCGGATTTTTCAACTTAAATTATTTGAGAACATCAGCAGAAACAGTCCATGAAGACTAATCAAATACAACAGCAACCCCAGAGAGTTAAAGCAATAGAAATATTCTTCACTATACCTAATCTTTTCCTTAGCACAGCATTTTGTAGAGGGCCAGGGAGAAGGAAAGCCTTTTGCTGCACCTATCCATAGTTTCATTAGATTATTCATAAATCCTTTTAACATCAGAGTGGCCTGGAGGCTTATTCAATGACTCTAGAACATGCACCCCTCAAATGGGTGCAGAAGAGATTCTTAAACTATTTTTACTTGACTCTAATGTTGCGTCTGCTCCCTCCATAGCAAAGCATCTGGCTCACAGATGAACTTCTGATTTTCCAGATTAAAACCTAGTTTGTCACTTGAATTTCAAGTTAAAGTCGTAGCCATAACTGTAAATAACAAAAAGTCATCACTACCTAATGACTGAGGTGCAGCCAATTCTTCCGTGCCTCGTTCTCCACAGCAATAAAGACAGTATCAGAACTGGTATCAGCTACTGAAAAGCGCACCCTTCCCAACAAGGGCAAGGCAGAGGGATCACAGAATGCCACCCTGAGGCCCTCCACCCCCAGCAGTTAACCAGGAAGAGAAACAACTCCTTCAACAAACATGTCAAGGTATCAGAAGTCATTGCTAAAAGTTTAGCCATTAGCACATTTTTCCCTTTTCGCCTGCCAGCAAACAATAACTTTTTTCAGCAGAGCACAGTGATTTTCTTCTCAGCATCAGAGATGTACTAACAGGCATTGATCTTCTCAGGACAGCAGAAGTAGTTCTAGAAAGCTCTCCAAACCCCTTGATCCGTCAAAAAGCGCATAGAAAAAAAAAATCGTGCGACAAAATCGCCAGGAGCAGCTACTTCCACAGGTGGTGTTTCTCCTTCAGCCACTGCTACCTGAAGGGGCTCTGCCACTATCCAAGACAGTGGAAGGCAAGATGGAAAATGGTAAATCTGCAAAGCCAGATTCAGTAATGGTTAGCTTTGCTCCCCAGGGACAATGCCTGACATTTAATATAGCAAAGTCTTTCATAAAAATAACAGGACTGATAGAAGTCAAACTTAATGTGGTAAGAATTTTACCAAAACAGCAATTATATGTTCCTTTTAAAAATAACTAAACAGAACACAGAAAATACATGGTTTAATAGCGAAGTATTTGCTGACTTAGTTTGAAGTGGAGCCAATACTAACAAATCAACATACCTCACTACCTAAAGTGTAACATGACTTATAATTTAAGGAAACAATGATACAGGATCCGAGGGAATAAAATACTGATTTCTATACCTAGTTAGGTATGAAATTTAGGTCACGCATTACACAGGAAAAGTGAACAAAACATAAAAGCAATGAGTCAGTCGAGCGAGATACTGGGGCTGCAGCTAAAAGCCACAGGAACACATTCTCCCATTGATCACGCAGGAAAACTTTTCCACATACTGTTCAGTTTTCCAGAAGTGGCCAGTGATCTGCTGGGAAAGCCCCACAGATAAGTGCTTCTGCCAATACTTGCTTTGGAAGTCTCCATTAAAAAAAGGTTTTTCATAATCATAAGCTGACCTCCAATTTGAGGCTGATGCAGATAACATGTAAGAGTGCACGCAGGAATCGGAGTATGAAACCTGGGCGGAAAAAAACCCAGTCAACTCCATTCACTCCTGCCAGTTTCATATTAGTGAGTATTAACAGCAGCTTATTTTGAGGTTAACACCAAGGTCTTTAACACAGTGCAATCCTGTTTGCAAAAATGCTCCAGCAGAAGCTTGATGGCAAGGATACAGCCCTTACACGCTTAGGCAGATAAGCTGCTATTTCCCAACACAGGGACGTAACTCAGGTTCCCAAATAATCTGAAAAAAAATTGCATTGCTAAAACTCAGAGGTCAGTCCACCGCTGCATGAGATTGT